ATTTGCGCTAAAAACTCTTCTCTTGTAAGGAATCCTTTGGAAGCTCTTATGTTAGAGCTTTTAATGCCGCATATCTCGTTGGCCATCGACAGGCACTCGTCAAGTTTGGAGTCGAGCTCCTTGACCTATGAAGTTTAGCCATGCGTTGCAACGATAATATATAAAACCTCTGAGACTGATCATACCTGCTGTTCTATGCGAACCAAGCGGCCAACAGCAATGATCGTATGGCCATGGCGGTTCTCCACGTTACCTGATTTGCACAATGTTTGCTCGATTCTAAGCATGGGAATGGCATTAGTGGATGTACCCGTTGAATCGAAAGTATTTAGGGAGTTTACTTTACTAACTGTACATAGTGTATGCTAATTACATATATATATTTAATGACACAGTTTACTTCATGTCTCTTAATAGTAGCTAATGCATAATGTGCATAAAATTCTTTGCATCATTGATATTTGGATAAGCCTTTGTATCAACTAAATTTCCTTGGGACTAAGAAATAAAACAGGAGGTTCAGAATGTTCTTTTAATCTTGATCACTGCTTTACGTGTAAAATAGAGTTTTCATACTTCATCGCATAAAATTTCACCATAGCCCATGGTGCTATAGTTAAATATACTGAGAAAAGGCATAAAGTGAGAAATGAACTTTTTTCTTCAGCGACCTTTCTCAATAACTCTTACAAACAGGAAATGTCAACATGCAAACTGTCACACTCAAGTTGTAATCGAACAAACTCACAACTGGCATCGCATTGAACCTCCAAGCTAAAGAAAGCATAACCTGGTGGTCTGGTCATACTGAAAAAATGGCGTAAAAGACGGTTTGCTAATACGCAACGCAAGGGATGCCGTGGTCAGTCCAGTGATTGACCGATACCGACGTTTCGGCCAGTCTCTCACTGCCTTCTTCAAAGAAGGTTGTTGGCGAACTTTCGTGAATGAGGTTAGTCGTCCGCAGCAGTCGATAGTTTTGAAGCTAGAAGGCAAGCTTTTGGTCTGTTCTGCTGGCTAAATGGCTTCTGGGCGACAGAAGCTACGAGACTCATCCAGTTCACAGAGTTCGTATGTTTGTCACGGTTGGTGCCTTACTCTTTTATCCGCCTTTGTAATTAATATCTTTCTTTAATGATGCCGCTACACTCAGAGCATCGGGGGAGTGTCCTTGCTTGGATTCATGCTGCACAATCCCCCAAGTCGTCTCGCG